CTTAACCCTAAACCCCTAAACCCTAAACCCTAACCCTAGACCCTAAACCCTGAACAAACCTAAACAACCCGAAACAACCCTAAACAAACCCTCAACTCTAGCCCTAAGCTCTAAGCCCTAAGCCCTAAGCCCTAAGCCCTAAACCCTAAACCCTAAACCCTAAAATCGCACCGTGCCAGGCCGCCAGTGACGGCCACCGGGCGCAGCTCGCGGAGACAGAGCTCCAGGAGCTCAGAGAACCTTAAAGTTCAGGTTTAAGACCCTTTTTTTGCTCGTTTCGTTCTTAAGGTGTGAATCAAGTTGTGCCAGATAAGCTTCCACTCGAATTTCAAAGCAGTCTAAGCCTTCCCCCTCCCTCCTTGCAATCTCCGCCACCCCTGAAAGCCAGCCATCAGACGGTAAATTGCGTAACTTTCGTAGAAGTGGGCGAAAGAAAGATGCGCCCTTGAACTACGCTCCAGCCGAATCAGATGTGTTGCATTTAGGGTTTCTCGTTCTTAGTAGGGAGTTTTGGGCCTTCGATACCCTGTAAAAAATAGTCCCTTTCTGGGTTCTATGGGAAGACATAAACTAGGTAGGCCCTCGGGGTATTTCATATTTTCCCTTATTCGGTTGAAGAAGATTACATGTAGGAATACTTCTCAGAGGGTTTTAAGGGCCTAGTAAAAGTACCCAATTCCTTAAGTCCCGATTAAGCACAGGTAATTTCGGGTTCAGGGTGTCGGGATTACTACTCAATGTGCTTGAGACCTTATAAGCCCTAAACTCTAAGCCTTCAACCTTGAACCCTAAACCCTGAACCATGTACCCTAAACCCTCTATAAACCTTAGGCTCAACTAGCCCAAAACCTTATAACGTAAGGCCTTTGGGCCCAAAAGCCCTTGAATAAGAGAGCCCACCAGGATATCAGTGAAAAGACCGATGGCTACTCCCTGGCCGACGTCGCACAGCCCTCGGCTTGCTCACACAACACGAACAGGGCTAGGCGCGCCCTCTCAGGGGCTACCTGGGACCCTACTTACCTACAGCTTAGGGTGTAGGACGCGGTGTAAGGTTTAGGGTTTAGGGTTTTAGGGTTTTAGGGTTTAGGGTTTAGGGTAGTAAGGGCCCTGAGCTTCCGACCAGACCGAGTTCATGTGCCAAATCTACACGATAATCTGGGTTCAGGGTTTAGGAATTATAGGGTTCCATTGCGGCAAACTTTCGTAGCGTTCAGTATATTGCGCTTAGTACAACGCACGTAAAGGTAGCGTTGTAGGGTTCAGCGCCTAAGAGCAGAGTGAACCTGAGTCTACTTACGAAGAAATCCTTCAACTGGGACAATGAGTAGGCCCTCACTTTGGGTCCAAAGTATATTTAAAATACCGTACATGGACCGTTAGGGTAAATAGCCTAAACCCTAAACCCTAAACCCTAAACCCTAAACCCTAAACCCTAAACCCTAAACCCTAAACCCTAAACCTTTGGGTCTATTCAATAAAGTTTTCGGAAGTGCTGGCAAACCGCCGAGGACCGACTTGTTCGCAAGGCCTTCGTGCAGGTGGCGTCATCTCTTTGGCTCGATGGCAGGGTTTAGGGTTTAGGGTTTAGGGTTTGGGGTTTAGGGTTTAGGGTTTCGGGTTTCGGGTTTAGGGTTTAGGGTTTAGGTTTTTGGGGGCTGTAGAGTCTGTATTCTGGTTGGGTATTGCAGCGCAAGCTCTGGAAAGATCCCGTTAACGTGAACCTTCTGTTCCGCTCGGAAGTTGTACCAGCACATATGACAGGAGTCAGTTTCTGGGGTTTGGGGGCTATCCAGTTAGCGTGGAGGAAACCCTAAACCCTAAACCCTAAACCCTAAACCCTAAACCCTGCAAAGACTTCGACCCGAAGTCGTAGAGCCATACAGTTTCGGGCAGTAGGGTTTCATGTTTGGGGTTTAGGGTCTGTGGGGGTTTAGTAAGGGTTTAGGATTTAGGGCAGGGGTTAGGGCTTCCGGGGGTTCAGGGAAACCTAAATCCTAAACCCTAAACCCTGAACCCTAAAAAGGGTTCAAAAGGCTTCCGGGCTTCTGTAGGTGGCCGTAGCCTTTTTTTGACCCACAGCTTCGTGCGGCCGGCTTCGCCCCGTGCGCCACCCGCTCCTTTCGGCAGCCTGGAGCCCAATTTGGGGGGTTTAGGGTTTAGGGTTTAGGGTTTAGGGTTTAGGGTTTAGGGTTTAGGGCGAAGCCCTAAACCCTAAACCCTTTTGCATGTGCAGGGCTGAGGGCTTCAGGGCTTCAGAGTTGAAGCTTTGATGTTTAGACCCTCGACTCCAACCCTAAGCCCTTAGGGTTGAGGGTTTAGGGTTTCGGGTTCAGGGTTCAGGGTTTAGGGTTTGGGTTTAGGGTTTAGGGTTTAGGGTTTAGGGTTTAGGGTTCAGGGTTCAGGGTTTAGGGTTTAGGGTTCAGGGTTCAGGGTTCAGGGTTCAGGGTCCAGGGTCCAGGGTTCAGGGTTCAGGGTGTACGGTCAAGTCATAACAATAAAGATAGTCATGTAAAAGCTAGATCTCCTGGTGGGAACAGAAAGAAGAACTTTTTCAAATATGCAATCTAAGCAACTCGGCGCCTAAACTCTAAACCCCAAGCCCTAAGCCCTAAGCTAAGCCCTCAGCCCCAAGCCCTGAAATCCTAATCCCTAAGCCCTAAGCCCTAAACCCTAAACCCTATAAACCCTTACTTGGAGGTTCATGTTTCTTATTAAATACTTATTGTCCAATTATAGCTGTACTTATAACTGTACTTATGACCATATTGGGGCACTTAAGGGGCTTATAAGTACAGCTCTAAGTACAGTTGTGGTTGGTTAATGAGTACCATGAACCTCCAAGTAACCCAATAAGCCCTAAGCCCCAAGGCCTAACCCTAAACCCTAAACCCTAAACCCTAAACCTAAAACCTAAACCTTGTACGCCCCCTGCCCCAAGCCCGCAGTCGAGCAAGGTGCATCGGCGCTGCCCCTGTGCCGGCCGAGCCGGACCGGATTTTGGGGGACCCACGGTTTAGGGTTTAGGGTTTAGGGTTTAGGGTTTAGGGTTTAGGGTTTAGGGTAAGGGGGGGTTGGGTACTAAGGGGGGTGGGGGGGGAAGGGGGACCCAGTCCTTGGCCCCTTTTGGAGTTCTACTAGAACGATAGGATGCCCAGTAGTGCCCTCTTTCCCTTTCTTGGGGAGGGGGGGGGGGGGGGGGGGGCTGAAGGTTCCCTTGTAAATAGCTTTAAGGACTTGCCCTTTTGGAGTTCTGCTGGGAAGTTCCCTTTTTTTGAGGGGTTTAGGTTCCTTTTTTTTCGGGTTTAGGGCTACTCGGACCCAGAGGTAGGCCTTTCTTCCGTTGTTTAGGGGGTACTTGGAGGTTCATGGTTCCTTTTTCGCCAATCATAACTGCACTTATAACTGTACTAATGAGCCCCTTAAGTGCCCTAATCTGGGTAGAAGTACAGTTACAAGTACAGTTATAAGTACAGTGAAATTGGTTAATAAGTACCATGAACCTCCAAGTAGGGTTGAGGGCTAACAGGACCCAGGGTCGGCGCTCACTCTTTGTTTGGGGGGTGTAAGTTCCCTGAACCTTCTTATTCCTAGGTTACTCTTGGGTCTAGTACATACAACCAACCCAAAAAACCCAAGAAACACCTAAACCCCAAACCCCAAACCCCAAACCTCAAACCCCAAACCCCAAACCCCAAACCCTAAACCCTAAACCCTAAAACCCCTAAACCCTTGTCATGATCTGGTTGCTGTGCCCTACCAAGTCATTGATCGGTTGCGGGCAATCCTTAACCTCCGGAGTCATGAGCCTGAGTTCCTGCCCTAAACCCTAAACCCTAAACCCTAAACCCTAAACCCTAAACCCTAAACCCTAAACCCTAAACCCTAAACCCTAAACCCTAAACCCTAAACCCTAAACCCTAAATCTGATCCTGCCATAAGTTTCCTTTTTTGCAGGAGAGCCTACAAGAAAGCATTAGTAGGTTCGCGGTTCTTGAGGTAGCGACTCCTGACTTCAAATCAAAGCCTATAAACCCTAAACGCTAAACCGAAGCATTGTGGGTTTAGGGTTCAAGGTTTAGGGTTTAGGGTTTAGGATTTAGGGTTTAGGGTGAGCACAGATCGCAGAAAATGAGCTCCGGGAGGATCCACCACCACGGGGACGCCGGGAGCTGAGCATGCCAACTCGAGTTAAAGCTTATGGGGGTTTAGGGGGTTTAGGGTGCTTTTAGGGGGTTTTAGGGGGTTTAAGGGTTTTAGGGTGTTTCAGGGGTTTAGGGGGTTTTAGGAGGTTTCAGGGGGTTTAGGGGGTTTAAGGGGTTTTTAGGGGGTTTTAAGGGGTTTAGGGGGTTTAGGGGGTTAGGGGGTTTGGAGGGTTTTAGGGGGTTTTGGGGGGGTTTAGGGCTACGGTGTAACGGTTTGGGTTTTTTGGGTTTAAAAGTTTAAGGCTAGGGTGGAGGGTTTAGGGTTTAAAGGTTTGGGGTTTAGGGTGTAGGGTTTAGGGCGTCGGGTTGAAAAGTGTGGGGTGCAGGGTTTAGGGTTTCGGGTTGACAGTTTAGGGTGCCGGGTGTGCCGCCAAGAGCAATATATCATATCATGGCATTCCCTCACCCGCTACCTGCCATGGGTACCTGCATTGGGGTCCTTATTGTGGTTTACGAAAATCAGGGTAGTCCCCCAGATAGTAGGGTTTCATCATAATAGAGACCCCCAAAAGGTACCCTTACTTCGAAAACCCAGTTGCTGTCTAACTCACCACGGTCGTCTTGAGCGGCCATCTGTAGGCAGGATGCGCCCCCCCCCCCCCCCCCCCCCCCCCCCGGAGCCCTAAACCCTAAACGGTAAACCCTAAACCCTAAACCCTAAACCCCTGATCCTTGAGAAACCGACGTTTGCTTGAGGCATCACACAGGCTCAACAAGCTGTGGCGCAGAGGACTCGCAGAGTCTCGGGGGAAGAGCCTCCAAGTACCGAGTTCTTCTTGAAGACTAAGTGCTGCCATGGCTGTCGTGGAGGGCGAGTGGCTCATCAAGCTCCTTGGGGGCCAAAGGGGACCCCAAAATTGGGGTCATATTACGCCATACCTACGATAAATCCCATTAAGGTACATGTACCATAAACCCTCTACGACTATAATCCCTAGTTTCTGTACCATAAACCCTATACTGCTATATCCCCTATTAAAGCATATGTGCCATAAACCCTATTATAAACCCTAAACCCCAACCCTCCACCCTTAGTTTTGTCCTTAATTAAGGCTGGAGCGCGGCTGGAGTACCTGGATCGTGGGAGAGCAGCCCTTCCGTGGAGCCCCGGAGACGTTCCGCTACATGTTCGGCAAGACGGAGTTCCAGGTGGTGGTGCACGAAAGAAAGGGTTTGGGGTTTAGGGTTTAGGGTTTAGGGTTTAGGGTTTAGGGTTTAGGGTTTAGGGTTTAGGGTTTAGGGTTTAGGGTTTAGGGTTTAGGGGTTTTTAGGGACCCCAAAAACAGACATATAGGGACCCCAACTAGTAGGACTCCCTTATCAGAAGGACCCCAATGAAGTACCCTAATTTCGGACACCCCCCAGGTCGAGTTTCAGAATGAGGCCGAAGGCACCTCCACCAATCTTTCAACGGGCAAGTCCCGGCCCTTGTGCTTCGTGGCCAAGGGCCAGGCGCCACCTTCCGACGAAGACGCCCCACCACCCCAGTCTCAGACACAGGCTCTGATCTCGGAGGACAAGCCTATGCAGACCACCAAGGTCGACAGCAACCTGCCCACTTGCTGCTACCTCGCAACGAGCGGCACCCAATCCTACGAAGGAGAGTTCCAGTGGTTGATTGAGCTGGAGAAGGGCTGGAGTCCATGGATGCCAGGGAATGCACCCTTTGATGGCAACACGGATGAGCCTTTGCGCTATACCCTTGGCAGGCCCAAAGGGTCCTAAGTACCCAAACCCTAAACCCTAAACCCTAAACCCTAAACCCCTTGGCAGGTATGACTTCGAGGTCCACTTCGAGGATGAGAGCCACGGCACTCAGACTAACCTTACCAGCGGCAAGGTGCGACGGATCCAGCGCCTGCGCAAGGGAGAGGCCGTTCCTGCTTCCTAGTAGCTGAGTGAGTACACTTTATACACTTTTTAAGGGGATACAAAAATCTCTATACAAAACTAAAATTTGCACACTTTTTTAGGGGGGCTAAGAAACTAAAGTTGTGCACTTTTTTCGGGGCTAAACAAACTAAAAAGTGTGCACATTTTTTGGGGGCTTCTTCTGAGCTCAGCAACTCTAAGGCTTGGGAGGGCACAGGCATCCGGCGCCGGCCCGCGAAGGCCGGCGCAGCCGAGATCGCTCAGGCCCCGGCAGCATCTGCAGCTACTTACTTCGCTTTTAGTTGAACTTTCAAGTTTTTGGGTTTCCTTATTTGTTTTTGGTTGAACTTTAAGCTTTTTTGGGTTTCCTTATTTTTTTAGTTGAACTTTAAACTTTTTCTGGGTTTCCTTATTTGTTTTCAGTTGAACTTCAAACTTTTTGGGTGTCCTTATTTATTTGTAGTTGAACTTCAAACTTTTTTGGGTTTGCTTATTCAGTAGGAATATACCAGTTTAGCTTTTTTTAGTAGCAATATTGAAGTTTGACCTTTTTTTTCCCTTGGTTTTTGGAGAAGTAAGGCTATGGCCGCGCAATCGAACCGGGCGGTCAGGCGCACGGCCGGATATCCTGCAGCCCCTGACTCCACGGGCGCACCCGTGAAGAGCGCGCAGAAGTTTCGAGGATGCCCAGTATAGTACCCTTATTCCCTTTTTGGGGGGGGTTTGGGTTCCCTTATAAAACCCCTTTTAAGCAAAAAAAAAGGGGGCACCCCTTTTTTGAGCCTATAGGTAACTGGGCAGCCCAGGTTTGCTCTCCGCACATCCAAGCCAGCAGCAGCTGCAAGACCACAAGTGTCCGAGGCTGCGCACAAGGCAACCACCGCACCAGCCGCCACGAAACTTTGTGGTGCTTTACTGTAGCTTTACATCTTTGGCCTTTTTGGGGTTTATTGGGTTTCTTAAGAAGGCAGCTAAAAATTGAATTTATAGCTACCCGGCTAAGAGCAGCCAAGGAAAGCTCCGACAACCACAGGGGGCGGCAACGTTCCTCGCTTCATGCGGCCACTGAAGTCGAAAGCCTGAGAAAGGGTTTAGGGTTGAGGGTTTAGGGTTTAGGGTTTAGGGTTTAGGGTTTAGGGTTTAAGCTACCTGTCAGATCACTCTTAGTTAAGTCCATGAGTTTTCAAGACACGGCGCAATGTCGCTTGATCAGGCATTTGACCTGAGCGAGCGGGCGCGTCGCCAACGAACGTGCACTCAACTGTGCTCTGAAAGTTGGGCTCAAGCGCACCCGGCCGCGGGAAGCACAACGCTTCTTGCGTTCGGGTGGGTCTTTTTGGTCTTGTTGCTGGTGGCACTGAAGCACGAAGAGGCCGCTGGAAAAGCCCACAGATCTTAACCTAAGGCGCTACGACCAAACCCTAGAACCCCAAACCCCCCTAAACCCTAAACCCTAAGCCCTAAACCCTAAACCCAAGAAGCCTGGGCAGGATATACGACACCTGGCTTCCAACTTTTGCTCTCTACTGCTCTACTTGTAACGGGATGGGGGGGCGGGGGGGGGGGGGGGGGGGGGGGGGAGGCCTCGTTCTACCCTAAACCCTCAAATCCCAAACGCTAAACCCTAAACCCTAAACCCTAAACCCTAGACGCGACCTAGAGTTATCGACATGGAGTTGCTTTCGAAGCCTTACTTGGAGGTTCATGGTACTTAAACACCATTTTTAACCGTATACTTATACACCATGCACTTGTAAGCCCCTCATGTGCCCTAGTATGTCTATAAGTACAGTTGTTAAAACCTGAACCCTCAACCCTTCATACTCCCCTAAACCCCAAACCCTGAACCCCTAACCCTGAACCCTAAACCCTAAACCCTATACCCTATACCCTAAACCCTAAACCCTAAACCCTAAACCCTAAACAAGTACAGTTCTAATCGGTTAACAAGTCCCTAAACCCTAAACCCTAAACCCTAAACCCTAAACCCTAAACCCTAAACCCTAAACCCTAAACCCTAAACCCTTCCAAGTAAGTCAAGGTGTTGCACAGGCGCCGGGGGTGCGGCTACGGAGGTTGGCGGAGCTGCTCTTGAGGGTTTAGGGTTTAGGGTTTGGGGTTTAGGGTTTCGGGTTTAGGGTTTAGGGGTTAGGGTTTGGGGTTTAGGGTTTGGGGTTTAGGGTTTAGGGTCTGGGGTTTACGGTTTTGGGTTTTGGATTTGGGGTTTAGTAGGCTTTGGGGCCCGTCTAGTGTTTAGTGGGTTTACCCCTAGAGGATCCTGATGAACAATCGCTTCGCCCTGTACAGTTTGGTTGTTGGTTGAGGATGTTGGCGTTTCGGAATGTTTGGATTGAAGAGACGTGTTCTTATTGTACTGTGTTGCTCTATTTGACGGTGCATCCGGGTGACAAGTTGAAGGGTTTGGGCTGGACGTTTGCTGCTTCTTTGAGGCTATAGGGCCCAAGACTTCAAGGTCGCAGGGTTTAGGCATTGTAGGGTTAAAGAGATGAGGCGAATCTGTGGTTTCGGGTTTAGGGTTTAGGGTTTAGGGGCGTAGGGTTTAAGGGTTCAAGGGTGTAGGGATAGGTTTTGAGGACTTGAAGCTGTGGCAAAAGCAAGGCGAGAATTCATGCAGTCCCGAACTTGTGGTATACTTACAACCCTACCTATTATACCTGGAGCCTTTAAAAGTGTGGGGTAACCTTACTCATGGTCCCTTTTGTGCTTTGGTATTTCAAGGCAATCTTCCCTCCATGCTTGCGTGATGATGACTCGGTTTGTGTGGCGAAAAGCGCAGGTTCCTACGGCTCGCGAGACATTTTCGGTGATTTTCTCTCCGGGATACAGAAGACGTGCCATCTCTTTGGCCCGCGCGATGGCCGGGGTCCTGACGCGGCTTACTGGCCCTGAGTGCGCATGGTTCGTCGGGATCCACCTCGAGGTGGATCCAGGCCATCACCCAACGCCTGACGCTGAACCGTTGTATTCCTGGCAAGCTGCGGCTGGGTGGAGGAGGCAATCTGTCAGCCGCCTAGCTCCTTGCGTTCCAGGGCTCCCACTCTGCCAGTCTGTCATGCAGTGGGGCAGCCGGGGGCAGCTGGTTGTCTTTAATGATACGGAGCCCTCTCCATCCTTGCTTGGGGCACGCCAGAAGGGCCCGAACTTAGAGATCTGCCCAAGGTAACTAGGAGACACCCTGGCCTCCTAAAAAACCACGAAGCCTCGAGCCCAAACCCTTAAACCCCAAACTCTACACCCCTAAACCCTAAGCCCTAAGCCCTAAACCCTAAACCCTACACCCTAACACCCTTAAACCCTAAACCCTAAACCCCCTAAACCCTAAATCCTAGCATAGTTATTTCCCTGCCTCGCCAGCACCTCTGTTAAAGAGTCACAGCCACTCTCAGGACGAAGAGCCTCAGCCGCTTCGGCAGGCTCCCGCTTTGGTTTTGGGGCTTATTGCCCACAGGGCGGGGTCAGGGTTTGGGCTAAGGGTTTAGGGGGCAAGGTTTAGGGTCTTAGAGGCTAGGGTTTATGGGGTTCACTGTTTGCTTATAGGGTTTAGGGTTCAGAGTTTGGGGTTTGGAGGTTTCGGGTGTGGGTTTTGGAGGTTCAGGGCTTTGGTTGAGGGCTTCGGCTTCGGGTAAAGGCTTTATAGGGTTTGGGGCTTGCGAGATTCCATGGCCCTTAAGGGAGTTTAGAGAGTTCAGAGTTTAGTTTAGTGTTTAGGGTTTAGGGTTTAGGGTTTGCGGTTCAGTGTTTAGGGCTTTGTAGGGTTTGCGGCGCTTGGGCTTTTGGTGGGTATTGAGGCCGTAAGGGTCTGGGTTCAGGATTTGCGGGCCCCTGTGGTGCCAGCAGGGTTTGGTGTTCGGGCGCGTTTAGGGTTTGGGGTTCAGGGCCCCCTTACCCTCTTGACAGGGTTCTGACGTATGAGCCCTTAATTTGCATAGGGTATAGAAGGGGGACCCCTTTTCAGGGATCATGAAGCTAGCCTCAGGGCTTCGGGATACCCTAAACCCTAAAACCTAAACCCTCAACCCTAAATCCCTTTTCTGGGTAGGCGCCGTGAACATTTTCGCATTTTCCCTCACGGGGGTCGCCAGGAAGGAATAGCAAGACTCAGAGTAGGCTCTGGTTCCTGTGTTTTAGAGTATGCCCTTATTAGGTTTAGGGTTTAGGGTTTAGGGTTTAGGATTGAGGGTCTAAGGTTTAGGGTTTAAGGTTTAGGGCTAGGACCCAAAGTAGGCCCTTACTACCCTTTTTGGGGGTCTATTTAACGTCTTTAAGCCAAAAAGGGTACGTACCCTTTTTTGCTCCTGGGTTACTCTTGGGTCCCTAAACCCTAAACCCTACCCTAAACCCAAAATGAATGTAATTGCAGAGGGCTTACTGGGGAACATAAGGCTCCACAGGGTTTAGAGAGCTGCCAATTAACAGCCCTAAACCCTAAACCCTAAACCCTGAAAGCCCCAAACTGCTAGCCGCAGGACCCAGCCATGTCTTCGCCCCCCGCAGAGGCAGAGAGGGGGTTCCAGCATGAGCAAATGACTAGGGCCCCACAAGCCGACGTCAACAGGGTTTAGGGTTTAGGGTTTAGGGTTTACGATTTAGGGTTTAGGGTTCAGGGTTCAGGGTTCAGGGTTTAGGGGATCCTAGTATTGGTGTATAAGGGGTCCCTATAAGGGGGATTCTGGGAAGCCCTGTTTGTGGAATCCCTATGCTGAGTGTTTTTCTGGCTTTGTTTATCTTTTGTTTTGGGGGGGAGGGGGGGGGGGGGCGGGGAGCCCTAATTTAGTGCTTTATGGACTGTATGGGGCTGCATCTAGGGCTTGTGATCAGGAAAACAGCTATAGGTATTTATAGGGGTGTCAGAGGCTCAGTGTCTCGTGGGGCTAATCGTGCTTTAGCAGGATTGGGGAGTCGAGGAGCTCTCTTCACGCCTTTTGCAAGGTCGACAGCAGGTAGAGGAAGCCCGAGTTCTTTCCTGTCCCATTGAGAGTGGAAAAGGTTCTTCCCATTCCTTTAAGAGATAGAGTCCTTGAAGAGGCAGAGGAGCTTTCTTCATTGCTTTGTTGAAGAGGGAAACAGCTCTTTGATACTCTCCCGTTCCCTATCCGAATACGAAGTTAATTGCGCTTTTGGCTTATTATGAAGACATAGTCTGTCTTCATTCTTGCTGAAGAGTAGAGGGTTTGTCATGCTGCTTTCCTTCGGGAAATTGATTGGACCTTGGTTAAAGGAACAACTCCTCATGTCTTTTCACAGGGGTCGGGTTTCTAGATCTTGTGCGATGCCTGGCGTCTCTGGGTCTTGCAACGTTTTTTCGTGTTTAGGAGGATGAGTGATGGGCGGAGTGGGGGTGTGATAGCACTGAGCTTATGGTTCGGGTTCTGCAGGGTTTTAGGAATAGTGAGTAGGGCTGTAGGGCTGGTGGTTTTGGATGAGCCTACAATTGGAACACCCTGAACCCTAAATTTGAATTCAACGCTGAACCTTAAACCCTGCACCCCTGACCCCCAAAAGCCCTTGAGGACGCCCCAGCTGCCTACTATAGGAGTTGTAATAATTACTAGTAGTATTCCCTCACGGCCCCTTATAACTGTATCATAATACCCCCCCAAAGCCCTGTTCTATTTATTTCGGCCCCTATGTTAGGCCCGAAGCCCCAAGCCCAAACCCTTTGGCATAGGTGGTCAAAGGCCTTCAGCTGACAAATGCAGACGATGAGGCCTACGGCAGTCCTTTAGGGATTGGGGCTAAACACTAAACCCTAAACCCTAAACCCTAAACCCTAAACCCTAAACCCTAAACCCTAAACCCTAAACCCTAACCCCCCCCCCCCCCCCCCCCCACACACAAAAAGGAAAAGACGCAATCAGAAAAAACAAGCCGAAGCCAAGTCGTATAGCAGCGAAGCACCGCATGTCCGTCATGCTGCTTTTGGGGGGGGTCACTAGGGTTTTGGGTTTGGGGTTTAAGGTTTTTGGGTTTAGGGTTTAGGGGTTAGGGTTTAGGGGTTTGGGGTTTAGGGTTTTAGGGTTTGGGGTTTAGGGTTTTGCTTGAGAAGCCCAAAAAAATGTGATAGTCGCTCGTTTACCAGTGTAAGGAAGACATATGTATATATATATATATGTAAATCTATCTATTTTTGTTTGGGGTTATAAAGCAAATGATAGCTTGGGGGGTTAACATTGAGGGTTTTCGGGTTTGGGCTGTTTGGGCTTTGCCTTTGTTAGGAGCTTTTTGGTGTCCCCTATAAACTTAAAATTCGACCTGAACTCTAAACCCCAAAGGTTTGGATTTCCAGAGTGTTGTCACTCAGTTTTTCAGCGATGGGGGTCAGAGTCTCGGGTTTTTGGATCTGATCTAGTCTTGGGGCTTGTAGGGTTTAGGGTTTAGGGTTTAGGGTTTTAAGGTTTACGGCTTTCAGAGTCTTGGGGGTTTACTGGTTTAGGGGTTTGGTGCACTATTGCTTTTGGGTTTGGGGAATATCCCCTTATACTAACACTCCTTGATAGGGTTTATATCAGGGGGTACCATAATCCCCTAAACCCTAAACCCTAGACCCTAAACCCTATTAAGGACTGTTAGTACAAGGGGGAATCCCAAGTCTTCTGATGCTGTTTGCATCCTTGTTGCTCCTTGTATTTCGCTGCAAACCTAAGCCCTGCAGACCGAAACCTTATCCCCCAAAAATGAAAGGCCACCCTAAACCCTAAACCCGAAGCCCTAAACCCTAAACCCTAAACCCTGAACCCTAAACCCGAAACCCTAGGCCCTATCCGCCCCCCGCCCCCCCCCCCAAAAAAAAAAAAAATAAAAAAAAAAAAAAAAAAGTGGAAGGCCGCAAGTCGGCCTTACTACTTTGGGCACGGGATAGTCAGGGGATCCCACCATCATCACATGACCGTCTCAAGGGGCTCAAGGAGGGACTCTTTTCAGGGACCTTATGGTGTTTTTAGGGTTGAGGGCTTAGGTTGAGGACCCCCAACCCCAAACCCTAAACCCTAAACCCTAAACCCTAAACCTGAGGGTCTGCGGGTTATGTAGGGGTTATTTCGGTACATAGGGACTAGATTATAAGGTATAGATGGGCGTTGTAGATGGTTATACAGGGGAATAAGATTCAGGGTCCCTTCCAGGAATCCAACTCCTGTGTTATACCTTGGGATGCTCCCCCTTCTACTAGCAGTCCTCAATAGGGATTATAGTACCCCCGATGATAATCCCTATGAGTTTGTTAGTATAAGGAGGAACATCCCAAGTTATACCCCTTTACAGACGAGAGGCGATGACCATGATCTCCTACCGGACGTTAGAAGAAGATCGGCGGAAGGCACCAAGCAGAAGCAACCGTTTAGGGTTTGGAGTTCAGGGCTTAGGGTTTAGGGTTTGCAAAAAGGCCCAGACATTTGGGATTGGACAGGCACTTAGAGAAGGAGAATCCGTATACTAAGAAGTAGCCTACCTCATGATCGTTATAAACCACCATGTGGGTTTATGGGCCCGGGGGTGGGGAGAGCTTACGGCTTAATTTCGCAAATCAAATCCCGGCCAGACCGATACATGAGGTTTCGAAGTCCTGTGCCGCCCTGCCCCCCGCCCAAAAAAATGAAACATAAAGCATAAAAAGCAAAATCAAAATCATACATACACTGGTAGCCCAAAGTTGCGGGCGTTACATACCTAAAGCTCCCTGTGCGTGAAAGCCCAGGAAACTTGGAATCGGACCGAAAGTTAGCTTGTATACTAATTACGAAATATTTCCGTGGCCTTTTAGTGGGTGACGCTGCCCCCTTTGTGCACAGGTGTTCGCGTCAGCGTTTCCGGAATGCGCCAGCGGTCACGTCCTGCTCTCAGAAGGAACTAGGCGTGTGTAAGGGAGGGCGGGGGGCCAAGTGACCCAACCTCTGACAGTCTGAGGCTCGGTCCCACCCTAACCTCAGAAGCCAAAACCCTAAACCCTAAACCCTCAACCCTAGATGGGCCCTTATGACCCTTCAACCCTCCTTGCAGAATGAACCCTGAAATTGGGGTCATATACCCTGTACTAGTATGATCCCTATTAAGGCAACATGACCCCTAAACCCTAAACCCGTTTGGGGCTTCACTTCGTCCTTAAGGGTAGACCCACTTAGGGTTCAACAGGTTTCTTGAAAATGGCTCCCACCTTTGCTGCCGGTTCACCCTAAGCCCTCTACACCCTCGGTATACACTTCCGGCTTTGGGGCTTAGGGTTTACGGTTTAGGGGATTACAATCGGGGCTTCTATGCACCGTACGTGTCCTCATCCTAAACCCGAGATTTTAGGGTTTAGGGTTACTCTAAACCCTAAGCCCTAAGGTCCTCGCCATCGTTGCGCGGGGATCGCAAGGGGACCACAAGGAGTTCATCGCTGTCCTCAAGGACCTTCCGCGAAAGAAGTCACCCTCAGCTGCAAACCCTAAACCCTAAACCCTAAACCCAAAAAGTGATAGGCCGTGAGCCCTAAACACCACATCGGGAGCGCCGCGTTCTTGCTCCTAAACACCAAGTAAGCCCCGCCTCACGACCCATAGACCATAGAAGACCCCCCCAAAAGATAGTTTTTTTGTGTTTTTTTTTGGCTTGGGGCCCGAAGGCCTAAACCATAGAATCCCGAAACCTCAGACCCTGAACCCTAAGCCCTAAGCCCTGAAGCCTTCTGCTACGAACCAGGGCGGTTGACGGTGGGGTTGCTGTTCCCGGGAACGTAGTGGCCGCAATTTCGGCCCGTCTGGGCAACGAAAGTTGGAGGAGGGTTCTGGGCGAGGGGCTTGGGCTTAGGATTCGGGATTTTGGGGTGAGATTTTGGTTGCTCAGTGTTTGGGCGAAAGGTTGGGATGAATCAGTGAAAGCAGGCACAGGTATATTATAGTATGTCAATGTCCCCTCTGTCCCCCTGTGTATCCAGATGATGACGAAGTTGAAGGGGGTGAGATGGACAGCAATCCGGCAACATCACGTCAAAGACTCTCAATCAAATGAGACCGCATGACTTCTTGAGCATGCAAAAGAGGTTCACATTTTCAGGCAACACCTTTCACAAGGTACAGCTCGCGATGAAAACTGTCTTGAACACAGCCATCGGCAAGATGAATGAGTTGAAAAAACAGTCAGAGGCGGTTGAGAAGGCGCTGTTCCTGATGAGCATGTGTTGTTGCTGGAGGAGTTCGGCAATGGTGATGTTTCAACGACAGGCGTTTCCGGCGCTGCAGGCGTCATCTCGTGAGAAATATTTGCTCACAGGTCGTGCTTCATAGACCCCAGCGATTGGACAACGCCCATTGAACAGTAGAGCCATGGGAAGTCACCTCGTGGGCAACATCGTTGCTGCTCGTGAGGGTCACGCTCCCAAGAAGTTTGATCACCCCCCCCCCCCCCCCCCCATCCTCCGAAAGCCTAAACCCTAAACCCTCAACCCTCATCCCTAAACCCTAAACCCTGAACCCTAAAACTCACAAAACCCTCAAACCCTCAACAACCTACATCCTCACCCTCTTGGTCAGGACGGCGCGACAAGCGCGGAGCTTGTGTCTGGCAGCTGCCAAATCACCTTCGAGGACATCGCCTGTTCCCTACTTGGAGGTTCATGGTACTTCGGTTTAGGGTGTAGGGTTTAGGGTTTGGGGTTTAGGGTTTAGGCGGTTTAGGGTTTAGGCGGTTTAGGGTTTAGGGTTTAGGGTTTATAATAATTAGGGTTTAGGGTTTAGGGTTTAGGGTTTATGGTTTAGGGCCAAGCTTAGGGTACGACTGTACGTATAGCTTATAACCCAAGTAGAATCACATTAGGGCACCTACGGGGCTTAGAAGCCTGTTCCCGACTTCCTGCTCCCAGAGACCCAGTACTCCTGAATGAATCCCCTCAGCCCCTAATCTAAACCCTAAACCCTAAGCCCTGAGCCCTAAACCCTAAACCCTCAACCCTCCCCCCTACCCCCGAATATTAGATTATTAGATGCTCCCATTATAGTCAAATTCTGGTAAATGGCGGGAGGGGTATTTTTAGTATTAGGTTTAGTATTAGGGGTGGGGGGGGGTTGATATTCGAGGGAAGGGATTAAGGATTAGTTCCGGAACTTGGATCGGGATCTGACTTGGGGTTTATGAAATTCCTTCATCGATGGGTAGTGTCTGAGGGCTTCAACCTAAGGGGTACTGGAGCAGCAGGGTTGCCAGCCGCGAGATCTCAAGGATTTATCTTCCAAGGTCTTTGGGGGGGGGGGGGGGGGGGTACATGATTTTAGGGTCTTGGGTTTACGGTTTTTTGGGTTCGGAGGGTTGCTGGGGCTTAGTGTTCAGGATTTCGCAACCCATAGCCCCAAACCCATTCAAAACCGCAAGCCTGCAAACTTCTGTTGAACCTGGGTGCCCTTATTCCCTTTTTGGGCCTAGGGTTTAGGGTTTCGTCTTTAGGGTTTAGGGTTTAGGGTTTATAAACCCCTTTACGCAAAAACAGGGGGGGGGGGGGTTAATCCCAGGATACTGGGCAACCTAGTGACCTACACGTTGGCTTCGAAAGTCTTCGGAAGGATCTGTCACCCGCCGACTGCATCGAGTATAGCTTTGCCGAGGCCGACCACCAGTGGGGCAGAAGCCCTAAGCCACTCGAAGACCTTAACCCTCATGTACCTAAATAGGGTTTAGGATTTAGGCTTTAATTAGGGTTTATGGGTCTGAGGGTTTAGGGTTTTGGGTTTAGGGTTTAGGGTTTAGGGTTTCGTGTTCCCCCCGATATACCCTGTTGAGGGATGAAATTATGGTACCATATTCTCCCCCTAATATATATCCCTATATAGGAAGCACTTTCGCTTTTCCCTCCTTGATACATGGGCCCTTCGGGTATGTTTAAGGTGTGGGCTCAGGGTTCAGGATTCAGGGTTTAGGGTTTAGGGTTTAGGGTTTAAGGGTTTAGGGTTTAAGGGTTTAGGGTTTAGGGTTCTAGGCTTAGGCCTATGTAGGGACCTTTTATCAGAGTGACCCGGAAAGAAAAGCAGGGCTTCAGGGTTTGGGGTTTAGGGTTTAGGGTTTGGGGTTTAGGTTTTAGACTTCCGGCCAACAGGCTCCACGGGCTGTAGGTCCTAGCACATGAGCTGGGGAGACGCCCAGCGGATCGACTGGTCCTCACTTGACCTTACCAGCACCGCGCTGCGCGGCACATGCTACGCCACGAAGACATCAAGCTACGGCCAACCTTGGGCTGTGCACTGGCGCGGGTTCACAGGCAGGGAAACCAGCACTTCCTGGTTGTCCACTGGCTACACATCATACACGACTACCTCACAGCACACCCGCTAAACAGGCCGGATTTCATGTTCATGCACTGCAGCCTGGATGGCCCCCTGCCGCCCTTGGCGGCGCCCAGCAGGTTTAGGGATGAGTTTTTTTTTAATCTAGGGGTTCTACCTTGGACCCTTAAGGGTGTACCCTTGGTTTTTGAGGTCCCTTTTTAAGGATCCCTAAGGGAATATAACGGCCATGCTCGGAGTATATTAAGGGGAACCTTTACAGGTACAACCTCAGGGGTAGAGTCTTCATCCCTTGATTTTAGGGATGCTTCGGGATGCTTAGGAGACGCTCAGATGCGAGGGTTTAGGGTTTAGGATTTAGGGTTTAGGGTTTAGGGTTTTGGGTTGTGGGTTTTGGGTTTTGGGTAAGGGAGGAGTTGCAGTTTGGGGTTCAAAAGCATCGGCTCTGGTTCCTTGAATCGAGGCATGGGGCTTTGGGGTTTAGGGTTTGGGGTTTAGGGTTTAGGGTTTAGGGTTTAGGGTTTAGGGTTGAGGGTTTAAGAATTTTCGGGGTGTCGGGGTTTAGGATTAGGTGTAGGGGATTAGATTTGACCACACCTGCACTCCACATATACGGTTCTACGTATACCCAGTTCTATCCTGGTGGCAGCGTTTACTTGCTTTGTGCCCTGATCCTCCAAGGATACCCGTCCTCCTCCGCCCGATTTCACGGTGTCATGTGTGCCCATTTTGGACGCGCTGAACCCTAAACCCCAAACCCCAACCCCCAAAACCCTAAACCCCAAACCCTAAACCCCAAACCCTAAACCCTAAACCCCAAGCCCGAAACCCTAAACCCTAAACCCCAAACCCCAAACCCTAAGCCCTAAACGCTAAAACCTTGCCGGTGACTGCAGCCGGACATTGCAGAGGCCTGAAACCCTGGAATCGTCCGAAATCCTAATCCCTGCAATGCACCTAATAGGGTTTAGGGTTTAGGGTTGCCTGTGGAGACTTGCCTTGGCCCTAAACCCCGCAATGCATGTATGCCCGTTTTCGGCGTCCTTATGCAGGGTATTCTAGCATATTTGGGGCTATTTAAGGGGTTTCCCCTATTTCGGGAAATAGGGGTTTCGGTCACCCCTGAACCCATCACAGGCGCCTGGCGAGTGGCGCGTGGCGCAGGTCTCGCGAGAAGCGCTGGAGACGTGACCCTGTTGCAGTTAGATCCCCTATCACCAAACCCCGAACCCTGAGCCCTATAACGTTTAAACCCAAAAACCTAGACAAAGCTTCAACCCTAATTCAATCCGTTATAATTAGTTCTAAGGTGTGTGTCTGTGTGTCCCGAGTCAGAATACACATACCTTGGGGGCCCAAAGACCGCATAAACATAAGGATCATGCTATTGGAGTATCCCTAAACCCTAAACCCTAAACCCTAAATCCTAAACCCTAAACCCTAAACCCTAAACCCTAAACCCTAAACCCCCCCTATAAGCAAGATTCTGGAAAACCATGCGTTTGAATCCTGAATCACTGAAGTGCCTCATGATTGTATATTTGAGCCCCAAAGTCCCTGTGTAGGAAGTACTTCAAGGCCCAAGTATTCCCTGTTTAGGTACATGGACCCTTGGGAACCCTAAACCCTAAACCCTAAACCCTAAACCCTAAACCCTAAACCCTAAACCCTAAACCCTATTCAGGTACATGGGCGTTTAGGGTTATGTTTATGTGGTTTTTTGGTCCCTAACAACCCACCTCCGGGACACCTCACTCCCTATGTGGGCGCGGGTTTCCCCAAACTGGAGGGCCACCTTAGATAGTTAGGGGTTTATATCCCTAAGCCCCAAATAACCCAAAGCCTGAGTCTTAGTCCCTCTGCACCCTCAACCTACACCCTAGACCCTGAAAGGTGCAGGGTGCATTTTAAGGCTAAAGGTTGCAATGCGTATATGCGTCCGGGCACTCGTTCACCAACCCCCCCCCCCCCCCCCCCCCCCGCCCCCCCCCCCCCCCCCCCCCCCCCCCCCCCCCCCCCCCCCCCCCCCCCCACCCCCCCCCCCCCCCCCCCCCCGGACCCCGTCCCCCCCCAGCCTGCAGGGCTGAAGCCCTAAATCCCTAGAAGCCCTATTGCAGCGCAGCCCTAAGCCTTCAGCCTTACTACCCGCACGAGGAGGCTGACTAGCCTCAACGATGCATTTAAACCGCTGTAATCCCCATGAGCCCCAAAATCTCGCCTAAAAGCTCTATAACCCTCGCAGCCCGATGTGTCCTGCAAGTATAGGCGCTAGAAGCCCTGCAACTCTAGAAGCCCGCCCTATGAGACCCCTAAACCCTAGACCCTGAACTCTAAACCCCAAACCCTATACGCGGGCACCCTGAACGCTCAACCCTCAACCCTCAACCCTAAACCCTAAACCCTAAACCCTAAACCCTAAACCCTAAAGCCATGACCGCAGCTTTCGCAGGTACCGTGGGATGAAGTTTGAGCCCGGGGCCATGGGCAGCGCCAATTTTTTCCTAGGTAAAAAGAGGCTTCTTAAGGGCCTGTTTGGGAGTTTAGGGTTTAGGGTGTAGAGTTTTGGGTTTAGGGTTTAGGGTTTTGGGTTTAGGATGTATATAGGTTTTAGGGTTTAGGGTTTACATGGTTTGGCTCCAGGTTTCAGGGAACCATGCACAGTAAGGCTTTTGGAGGTGTATATCCTCTTTCTAGCCAAGGCGTAGTTAAAGAACCGTAAACCCTAAACCCCCCACCCTAAACTGAAAAACCCTAAGCTTACCCTAAACCCTAAACTCACCCTAAACTTACCCTAAACCCTAAACTGAAAAACCCTAAACCCTAAACTTCCCACCGGGCCCCTCAAGCCTTCGAGTTCCTAAAAACCTCAAAGTCCCTGAAGTTTTTGACCCCTTTCTATCCTGGTGATCTGGACCCTACAAGGAGGGGCCCCCCTTACTTACAGTAACTATACTTAAGGGACTTATAACCTAAGTTAGGATCCTTCTAACCCAATCTAGGGCTCTTATAACTCTACTTATAATTAGGGGGCCCCCTCCCTGTAGGCCCTCTCTCTAAACCCTCCTAAGCCCTAAACCTGAACCCTTATAATGCCCGACTTGAAGGCTCCGGGAACTTAGCAACACGATGCCCTACCTGGGACTCTATTGACCTTCAGTTTAGTAGAAAGTACCCCCTATTTAGTAGGTATACCCCTTAAACTGAGTGACAAGATGCCCTACCTGGGACCCTATTTTCCTACAGTTTAGTAGTAAGTACCACCTATTTGCTAGGTATAACCCTCAACAACTGTAGGTAGATTTTGTAGCAAGATGTCCCCTGAACCCTAAACCCTAAACCCTAAACCCTAAACCCTAACTTGGGTTGAGTTCCCCATCCCGGCAAGCAAGCAACCCTGAGGGCCTGGAAGCAGATGCTGCTCAAACCCACCTGCGAAGCGCAGTTCCGGTCTCCCCAGCGGAGCTTGCGAAATCTTGGGGTTTAGGGTTTAGGGTTTAGGGTTTAGGGCTTCGGGATTTACATGGCTTGGAGGTTCGGCTTGTTCGGATAGGGTTAGGCGCCCGTGCAGTAAACCCTAAACCCCACAGCCTAAAAGACATGCCTCCCTTAGCAATCCAATTCGCTTGTAGCCCTAAACCCTAAACTTTAAGCCTAAACCCTAAACCCTAAACCCTAAACCCTAAACCCTAAACCCTAAACCCTAAACCCCAAACCCTAAACCCTAAACCCTAAACCCTGAAGCCTCCTGGGCCGAACCGAAGGATTTATCTAGGAGGGCCCATAACAAACTCAAGCAGCCCTGTTTGAACCCTGGGGTTTAGGGTTTTGGGTTTGGGGCTTTGGGATTTAGGAAGCTTCGGACTCAGGGGTGTAAAGGATTGTTTGGCTAGACTGCCACGTTAAAGTTTCGTGAAGCACGTGTTAGGGTTTAGGGTTTAGGTTTTAGGTTTTAGTTTGAAATATTTCTACAGCAAACATAGACCCTAAACCTCAACTGAGGCCCTAAACCCTCCCGGCTCAACGTTAGACCCCAAAACCCCCTCAAACCCCCCAAAACCCCTAAACCCCAGTGCGACCTGCCTTTAGGGTTCAGGGTTTAGGGTCTAGGGTTTAGGGTTCAGGGTTTAGGTTTAGGGTTTAGGGTTTAGGGTTTAGGGCTTAGGGCTTTAGGGTTTAGGGGCGAGAGGGCCTTACCTTAGGAACCCAGTCCTTTTTTTTTTCTGTAGTAAAGGGGTCTATAACAGGTCCTATGTAAACCCCTGATGCCTTATATAGTCTCTATAAACCTAAGTGGCCTTGAATAACCCCTAAATAGCCCCTAAGCTCCCTTATAAGGGTCCCTCCTTTAGTCCCTTGATGCAGGCTCTTATCCTTAAGGTAGAGCCCGAAGCTTTTAATCAACATTAAGCTAAGGCGGCAAAAAAACTTAACTATCTCCCCCTTGGGAATTAGTTTTGTTTATAGAAAACCCCAGAGAAGATTAACAATATGAATTTTATTAAGGTTTAGGGTTTCGGGTTTAGAGTTTAGGGTTTCGGGTTTAGGGCTTAGGGTTTAGGGTTTAGGGTTTAGGGTTTAGGGTTTAGGGTTTAGGGTTAGGTTCTAAGGGGCAGCCAAGCCTCGCCCTTCCAGCCGTCTGAAAAACCAATCTCAAAGCTCGAGACCCTAAAGGCGCCAAGCACAAAACGCACCCGAAACCTCAGACCCAAAGTTACCCTTGATGTGGGGGTTTAGGGTTTAGGGTGTAGGGTGTAGGGTGTAGGGTGAAGGTTCTGTGTACGGTTGCACTCTTTTTTTGCTGCTCTTCCTCTAGAGCTTCTGACAGGCGAATGCTCCAGCTCGGAATCGTGACGCAGCTCTACGAACCTCTGACGCGTTTGTTTCCTTTGTGGTGCTTTACTGTAACTTTAGATCTTTAGCCTTTTTGGGTTTATTGGGTTTCTTCATAAGGCAGCTAAAAGTTTTTTTAGCCACCCTGCTAATTACAGCCAAGTTTCCCCCAAGTATCCATGTACCTGTACCTTAGGGATACTTGGGGAATATTTTTGTTTGTTTTGGGTACTAGACTTCCTAAGAAACAGCTACATTTTAGAAATTTGCTAGGTTACCAAGTTTAGTATAGACACTAGGAGTAGCCTCAGTAACCTTGAAAAAATGAACGGTAGTATGATTTTGCCGGGGCCTCCTGAAGCAAATCTTGGTCTGGTAACAGCATTGGGCTTCAAATGGGGTTCCTATAGACGACTAGCCCTAAACCCTAAACCCTAAACCCTAACCCTAAACCCTAAACCCTCAACCCTAAACCCTACCTTAGGCTTCCGGCTTCGAAAGCACGTCTTGCGATTCGCGTGGTCCCCAAATATATTCCGTCACAATTTACGGTTTTTTGGTTAAAAAAAGGGTGGTGTAAGGGTAATATAGGGGTCGGAATAATTACTAGTAGTATTCCGCTTTTATAGTTGTGCTATAATACCCCCGCCCCCCCCACCCAAACCCTATTCTAATTTTTACGGCCCCTACGTTATATGGTCACTTCGGTCCCTTTTGAAGTCCTTAGTCTAAGGCTGCCCCTCTTATTTAGGGTACCCCAAAAAGGAGTCATCGTTTTGAGCTCCTTTCAGGCCCAAGTATACAGAATCATAAACTCTTAACCTAAACCCTAACCCTCACCCTAAACCCTAAAACCTAAACCCTAAACCCTAAACCCTACACCCTAAACCCTAAACCCTAAACCCTAAGCCCTAAGCCCTAAGCCCTAAACCTATACTGTATAGGCACATCGACCCTAAGGGTGTTGTGGGCTGGGCATGTGGATTGGGCTGGGCTGGTGGGATTTGCTGGTTCCATGTCTGGATGGATGACTCCACAGCCTTGGTTTCTCAAAACCTGGTTTGCAAGCGGGTTTTGGGTTTAAGGTTTGAGGGTTTGAGGGTTGAGGGTTTAGGGTTCAGGCTTTTAAGGTTTGAGGGTTTAGGGTTGAGGGTTTAGGGTTCAGGTTTTAGGGTTTGTCTTCAGCAGTCCACTATGCAGGTATAGGTTACTGTACTCACCATAGATCGGGGAATCACCGCCTCCCTTGTGATACTTGTGACCCAATTAGAGCCCTGAACCCTGAACCCTAAACCCTTAAACCGGTTTAGGGTAGGGTGAAGGGTTTCGCGCAGCCCGATCTCAATATTCCCCAAGCCTTTCCTCTCAAACTACTCAAGCAAACACCGGCCACTGCAAGACAGGATCCGCAGCTTTTCCCGACACCGGATGCCTCGAAAGCACAGTACCAGGCGAGAGCTGGGGTCTTTTCAGGGCTGTCAGGCTTGGAGTGTGGCCCTAAACCCTAGACCCTAAGCCCTAAACCCTTAACCCTTAAGACCCTAAGCCCGAAGGCCTAAACCCTAAACCCTAAATCTGAACTCCTAAACCCTAAACCCTAAACCCTATACCCTAAACCCTAAACCCCAAACCCTAAACCCCAAGCCCTTTGCTTTAGGGTTGGGTAGCAGCTAAGGTTTTTTTTAATGTCGGGTTCAGGGGACTCACCTGCGGCCGCAAAGAACAACATCATGAAGCCCAGGCTGAAGTTGAGGTTTAGGGTTTAGGGCTTGGGGTTTAGGGCTTAGGGTTTAGGGCTAGGTTTGTGGTTTTAGGGGTTTAGGGGTTTAGGGGTTTAGGGTTTAGGGTTTAGGGCTTAGGGCTTCGGGTTTAGGGTTTAGGGTTTAGGGTGATCAGCCTCTGCATACCCTCAACTGCTCTCATCCCCTACTCCGTGTGAGACACGAAGAACCATTCTAAGCAGCTACTTGGATCCCCTCCCTACCCCCAGTTGTTAACAGGCTATTAGGCGGCCGAGGTTGGGTCAAAAGTACTCTGACGCAGCGTTTCGTGTGTTTATGATCAGCTCTTGAACCCTTAGGGCCTAAGGGGTCTTGTTTTTGTTGACCCAACCTCGCTGGGTTTGACTTGGGCTCAGAAGGCCAGCTGTTCGGGACTTGAGTGTTGTGCAGGCATTTGGCTTGTCAGATTCCCACTAGCCGTGCAGAGTGTCGTAAGTCGCGGTTGGCGCATTCAGCCTCGATGCTTTGTGTCCGGATGCTCTCGGGCAACGAGCTGGCGCAAGTGGCGCTGTCAGAGGAGCTCAATGTGAGGGCGCTGAAGCAGCTTAGTAGCTGAATGGGTGCACTTGATACTTCTTGGGGGGGATACTCTAAATCCCCTACAGAACTGAAAAAAGTGTGTGTGTGTGTGTTTTTTTTTTTTTTTTGGGGGCGGGGGGGGGGTTTGACCTCAGCAACGAAGGCAGCACTTGCAGGGGCTGCACGACCTGCCCCCGCGCTTCCGGCAGAGGCTGCTCCTGAACGGCCGATGTCTGGACGATGCTGACAAGATCGACGCCTTGTCCCAGGAGATGGGCGTTTTTATGGTAGAAGCCAAAAAGTTGGTGAAACTCAATGGCCTCAATCCCTAAGAGTATTAAGTATAGGGAATCCCCCTGCACTATTTTGTTCTTAAAACGGTTTCCAACCTTTTGGGGTTTACTGTAGACCCTAGAATAACTGAAAAGGCCCTTTATCGGGTTCATTATGGGGATTATGAGGCCTAGAAGCCCATCTTGGTCATAGTGGGATAATATTTTACATGTTTTAAAGGCCACTAAAAACTCAAGAAGGGATAGAAATCTAGAAGTTATGAACACTATTTTTTTAACCCTTAGAGAAGTAATAGAAATCTAGAGTTTAAGTTCTATTTGTATAACCATGAGCGAGGACTCCCCCGTGGAGCTGGAGCTCATCTTGCTGTCGTATCACGCGACGACGGCCATGGTGAAGGAGGAGCTCACCTCTGCGGCTTTGGTGGGATCTGTGGCCAAGGTGGGGGTTAGGGTTTAGGGTTTAGGGTTTAGGGTTTAGGGTTTAGGGTTTAGGGTTTAGGGTTTAGGGTTTCCGAACTTAGGGGGTACCTTATGGGGGGGTCCTTATTAGAAGGGGATCCTACTAGCCTGGGGTCTACATTAGGGGGTCCCTTATTTTCGTAAACCCCTAAATAACAAGGGCATGGTGTGCCGAGGATGCTGCCCAGAACTTTAGGAGGGTTGATAAGGTTTAGGGTTTAGGGTTTAGGGTTTAGGGTTTAGGGTTTAGGGTTTAGGGGGGTGCACAGGGTAGAATTGTCAACATGGTTTATAGGGCTTGGGCCTTGGGGGTGCTGTACCTCCGATACCTCCGGACGATTGCCATCTTCAACCCATGGCGCCCAGTTGTAAGGTGTATTCGTCATCTTAACCGCAAGTGCACTGCTGAAATGCCCAGGTTGAGTCGATGCTGCAACACCCTTGCGACCCGGACGCGGCCAACCTCCATGGCTTCACGGCTTTGATGCTCGCATGTCAAAACGGCTACATTGAAGTCGCACGGCTGCTTGTGCCTTGGGGACGAAAGGAACCCTGAAAGGGTTTATGGTTCATACACCTTATGGTTCATATACCTTATGGTTCAGCAATACCTTAACAGGAATTAGAGTAGTATATAGGGTATAGGACCCAATTTTCTGGTTCATGTCGTCCCTAAGGTGGAGGCCAGTGCTGACATTGACTTGGCCAGCCATGACGGCTTCACAGCTTTGATGCTGGCATCTCAAAACGGGCACATGGAGGTTGTGGGAATGCTGTTGGAGGCCGCTGCTCACATCGACATGCCCGACAACGACAGCGTCACAGCTGTAATGCTCGCATGCCAAAACGGGCATTGTGAGGTCGTGCGGCTGTTGTTGGAGGCCGCTGCTCACATCGACTTTGCCAGTAATGACGGCTTCACAGCTCTGATGCTAGCATCTCAAAACGGGCACGTTGAGGTTGTGGGAATGCTGTTGGAGGCCGGTGCTCACATCAACTTGGCCAGCCGTGACGACTTCACAGCACTGATTTTGGCATCTCAATACGGCCGCTTGGACGTCGTGCGGCTGCTGTTGGAGGCCGGTGCTCACATCGACTTGCCCAGTCATGACGGCTTCACAGCTTTGATGCTGGCATCTCAGTTCGGTCACATTGAAGTTGTGCGGTTGCTGCTGGTGGCCGGTGCTCACATCGACTTGCCCGACAACGACAGCGTCACAGCTGTAATGCTCGCCTGTCAAAACGGGCACCGTGAGATCGCGGGAATGCTGTTGGCGGCCGATGCTCACATCAACTTGGCAAGCAAACACGGCTTCACAGCTCTGATGCTGGCATGTCAAAATGGGCACATGGAGGTTGTGGGAATGCTGTTGGACGCTGCTGCTGACATCGACTTGGCAAACAATGACGACTTCACAGCGTTGATTTTTGCATCTCAATACGGCCGCTTGGAGGTCGTGCGGCTGCTTTTGGAGGCCCATGCTCACATCGACTTCGCCAGTCATCACGGCTTCACAGCTCTGATTTTGGCATCTCAGTACGGCCACTTGGAGGTCGTGCGGCTGCTGTTGGAGGCCCATGCTCATATCGACTTGGCCAGCCATGACGGCTTCACAGCTTTGATGATGGCATCAGCAAACGGCCAATTGGACGTCGGGCGGCTGCTGTTGGAGGAGGGTGCTCACATCGACTTGGCCAGCCGTGACGGCTTCACAGCTTTGATGCTGGCATCTCAATTCGGTCGCAGTGAAGTTGTACGGGTGCTGTTGGAGGCCGCTGCACACATCGACCTGCCCGACAACGACAGCGTCACGGCTGCAATGCTCGCCTGTCAAAACGGGCACCGTGAGGTCGTGGGAATGCTCCTGGCGGCCGATGCTAACATCGGCTTGGCCAGCAAACACGGCCTCACAGCGCAGATGCTGGCATCTCAAAACGGGCACATGGAGGTTGTTGGAATGCTGGCGGAGGCCAGGGCTCGCATCAACTTGGCCATTGACGCTGGCCCCACAGCTCAGCGATTGCTTTCAAGGACGGTGTCGAATTGCGTAGGCCATGTGGCCGTGCGTTTGCGGCCCGAATGGTCACGCCTAGCTGTTCCCTTCCTCCTCGCCGCTGTTGTCGCCATTGTGTTCTTTCAGATCCCTTGTTTCATTTCTTGCCTTCCTGTTTCCTAGGTAGGATATGGGGGACCCTTAAAAGGGAACCCTTATTAACTCTCTTCTGGCTCTCTTAAACAGGGACCTTATTCAGACATATCCCCAAGGGTTCCCTAATCCTATCCCCTAGTGTTTGACACCGGCCCGCAGGCAAAGCTTGTGATCCGATGTACATAGACTCAGCCGTTGCGCGCTTGCCTCGCGGCGCCTGCCAATCTCAGGTCTTCCCAAAGATGCGAAGATGCGAATCCTTGGCCACGCTTGTACATAGTTCAACAACCAGGACCGGGAGTAGGCACATTTGTTCCTTTCTTTAGGGCAGGGGTTCCCTTATAATCCCCTTACAACCAAAAAGGGTACCCTTTCTATTCCTAGGCTACTCCCGGGTCTAGACAAAGCCTCCGGCTGAACAGCTTGCATGATTGAATTTGGGATCGTGGCCGAGTTGTACATATGAATTTGCATGAGCAGTCATAGAACCCTAAACCCTAAACCCTAAACCCTACACCCTAAACCCTAAACCCTAGCTGCCTCAGGCTTGACTGGGGTCAATGGCTGCAGAGCGATTTGAGTAGTTGTCCATGTACCTCATGAATATACTTGGGCCCCAAATTCCCTCCTGTATAGAAAGTACTTTAAGACCCAAGTCTTCCCTGTGTAGGTACATGGACCCTCAGGGTTCATAGTAACCCTAAACGCTAAACCCGAAATCCTAAACCCTAAACCCGAAACCCTATTTAGGTACCATTTAGTAACCCTAAACCCTAAACACTAAACCCTAAACCCTAAACCCTATTTAGGTGCATGGACCCTTAGGGTAGGACATTTTCAAAACTTCCCAACAGCCCACAAGTGGCCATCCTGTGACTCAAAACACGCCGGGTGTCGGCTTCAGGGTGCAGGGCGCAGGGTTGGCTGTCCTAACCCTAAACCCTAAACCCTAAACCCTGAACCCTAAACCCTAAACCCTAAACCCTAAACCCTACCCCCCCCCCCCCAAAAAAAAAAAAAAAAAAAAAAAAAAGTCCTAGTTGACTGTCGAGTTTGGGCCTGAAACCCCAAACCATGAGTCTTTGCCTAGATTAGGGCCTAGGTCTATTAGCCTAAACCCCAAATCCAATACCCTAAACAACAAACCCTAAACCCTAAAGGGCATCGGAGGTCCTTTCTTTCAGGGCCCCCCTTACTGAGGTCTGTTTCAGCCAGGCCCTATAGACGCTGCCGGCTTTGAACCCTGAGAAACACCTACAAGCCTCCCAACTGGAGGGTTTAGGGTCTTGGGTTTCGGGTTTAGGGTTAAATAGGGGTTAGGGTATAGGGTTTGGGGTTTTAAGGGTTTGGGGTACAGCCTCTCCGAAATTCCGGAGAGGTTTAGGGTCTAGGGTTGAGGGCTTGGGGTTACGGTGTTGAGTGTGTTTGGGAGGCCTCAACCCCAGAATCTAAGCCAAACCTGTACTTAGCCCTGCAACCCGAAAACCCTAACCCGAGTCCCTGAACGCCTATACAGACCCTATAAACCCCTAAACCCCTTTTCCTAAACCCTAAACCCTAACCCCAAACCCTTAAACCCCAAACCCCTAAACCCTAAACGCCCTAAACTCCAAAACCCTACCCTTAAACCCACAACCCCTAAACCCCAAATATGCCCCTAAACCCTTAAACCCAAGACCCCTAAACCCCAAACCCCTCAGCCCTTAAACCCCGAACAGAAAAGGTCACCGACGATCGGACGGGAAAGCTCATCCAGCTACCCCACGCGGTGAAAGAGATGCGGGTCTGGGAAGCCCGGGGGGGGTGTCGGGTTTGGGGTTCGGGCTTAGGTTTAGGGTTCAGGGTTTTAGGTTTAGGGTTTAGGGTTTCGAGTTTTGGGTTTCGGGTTTAGGGGGCCTAGAGGGCTTGCAGAGCATTTGGGGTTTGCAGGGTTTGCTTGGGGAGGTTTATGGGGTGCAGGCCGGGTTTCAACAATTTAGCCGTAGCAGAGGGTGCATTTTCAGGTTGTTTTAGACATTGGCATATGTCTGGTGAAAAGGTCTTAGGGTTCAGAGGGTTGGGATTTTGGGTTTAAGACCCTAAGCCGCAAGCCCTAAACCTTAAACCTATAAACCCTAAACTCTAAACCCTAAACTCTAAGCCCTAAATTGCAGCTTTAGAATTGCGGACCTGCTAAGCTGGGATTAGGGGGGCTGCTCACATGTTCTGGGTTTCAGGTTGAGGGCTTGAGGGCTGCACAGTAGGTTTTGGGATCTTTAGCATGCTTGGGGTTTCAACTGAGCAGGCGCGTAAGTGCGAGGGTTTGTGTTCTTCAGCATGTTAAGGGATTGGGATGCTTGGTTAGGGTTTCGGGTTTGGGGTCTAGGGTTTAGGGTTTGGGGTTTAGGGTTTAGGGTTTAGGGTTGAGGGTTTAGGGTTTGGGGTTTAGGGTTTAGGGTTTAGGGGTGAGGGTTTAGGTTGCATCACCTCAGGTCTGGAATGCTGCCCTGCAGCAGTACGACAGCATCGACACAAAGCTGTCTGGGGCTCCGGCAGAGGCCTTTTGCCTCAGCTTATTGGGGTCTTATTTAGGGTTTAGGGTTTAGGGTTTAGGGTTTAGGGTTTGGGTTTTAGGGTTAGGGGTTTAGGGTTCGGGGTTCAAGGCGGGTATGTAACCCAAGGTTCCCCAGTACTCCCCACTACTCCCAAAGGTTAAGGTTCCCCAGGTACCTACCCCCCCCCCCCATGCACCCCCCTCCCTTAAGAACCCTATAATCCCTAAACCCTAAACCCTAAACCCTAAACCCTGACTGCAACCTCCCCGTGGGCTCTTATGAAGCGCTCTTATGAAGGGCTCCTTTAAGACGCTTAATTCAAGGGATGAAGACTCGTACCCCTAAGGTTGTACCCCTGAGGGCTCCCGTTATTATACTCCTAGTGTGGCCCTTAGAGTCCCCTTGAAAATCTTTACAAAGGGTTTAGGGTTTAGGGTACAACCGTCCAAGGTATAACCCCCAGATATATACACCCTAAACCCCAAGCCCCCATCATATCTTAACGCACAAGAACTTTGCTGTCGTCACCCCTGAGCCCCGCGTACGTTCAACCTTATACATGCTAAGCCCTAGTAGTAAAGTAGGTAACCTGTAACCTTTTTGTGGTATTACAATCCCCTTAGAATCCCAAAGGTTAAGCTTTAGTTCCCCCAAATTCTGGTCAACTAAGTAAGAAGCCCTGGACCCTAGAACTCTACACATCCTGACCTCAAACCCTATAGCCTAAAACCCTAAACCCTTCCTAAACCCTCAAAAGCCATGCCCTAAACCCTAAACCCTAAACCCTAAACCCTAAACCCTAAACCCTAAACCCTAAACCCTAAACCCTAAACCCTAAACCCTAAACCCTAAACCCTATACATCCTGACTGCAAGGCGGAGAAGGCTGCTTGGTGGAAAGACTTCACAGACAAGATGAAGGCCGAGCACGGCGAGGAGTGCCCCCTGATACTTCGCCTTTTTTCTCCACCGGGCGTCGGAATCTAGGGTTTAGGGTTTAGGTTTTAGGGTTTAGGGTTTAGGGTTTAGGGTTAGCGTTTAGGGTTTGAGGCAATCTAGAAGGTTGGAAGGTTTGGGTGAGGCTGTCTCAGAGCCGAGCAAGCGGACGGAAACTCAGCCAAAACCGTGACAGATCCTAAGCCCTGAACCCTAACCCCTACCCCCTAAACCCTAAACCCTGGCTCCAAGCCCTTCACTGAGTTCCCTGGTGACCTAGGAGATCCATGTAACCGACATAGGGAAGACTTTGCCAAGTACCTTCTATCAAGGGAGGACCATCGTCCTGTTTTTCACAGGTTTAGGGCTTAGGGTTTATGGTTCACTTTGCGAAGATGCCGTGTTTAAAAACCCCTGTAACCCTCCGTAAGCACCACCTATGACTCCAAAACCCTGCAATTTAGTAGGTAATACGTTCCAAATGGAAACCTCGAATCACAGAAGCGACTTACCCTAAACTCCAAACCCTTCTCCAGCAGTCCCTATCCCACGGGCTAAACCCTAAACCCTGATTCAGGTACATTGATGGCCTGATTGCCGGCAAGAACTGAACCACTCGGGGGCCTCTAGCGCTTTGTGAGCTCAGGGTTTGCAGGCCTTACCCCCCCCCCCCCCCCATAGTATGATTTAAGATGACGTAAATAGCACCATCGCCCAAGCAAAACACAGTCAGCAGTAAGAATGAACTCCGTACAGCAATTAACCAGAGGAGAAAACCACGATTTCAATTCTTAGCCGAGTGTCGGTGCCGTGATGCACCCCATGCGTGTGACGACAGAAGGTCGCCACAAGCTAGAATAGAATCCCTAGAGTAGCCGGACCTCTGCTTGTAGGAAACCCTAAACCCCTAAACCCTAAACTCTAAACCCCTAACCCCTAACCCCTAAAGCCAAACCCTAATACCCTAAACCCTAAACCCGAAAACGCTAACCTTAAAGCCTAAACCCGATATAAGACTTACGGGCCCCCCATGGCAAAGTCTCGCTTGGTGCCGCACCCCTTAGGCCTCCTGCACCCGAAACCCCTAAACCCACAACCTTAAAACCCGAAACCCTTAAACCCCTAAGCCCTAAAACCCCATAAACCCTATAAACCCTACTATAAACCCTATAAACCCCATAAACCCTATAAATCCTATAAACCCTATAAACCCTATAAACCCTAAACCCTACAGTCCAATCTTAATGTCATGCCCAGAGGATGGAAACGCAAGCAGAGATTTTCGGCGCTAGCATGGGAGGGACCCAAGACGGGCTGGGCTTTTTGGAGGTTTCATAGGGTTTAGGGGCCCTCAGCCCTAAAACCCTAAACTCTGAGCCCTCCTAACATGGAGTTAGCCCTACTCTAGGATGCCCAGTAGTGCCCTTATTCCTTTTTTTTTTTTTTTTTTGGGGGGGGGGGGGGTTAGGTTCCCTGAAAAACCCCTTCAAGCAAAAAAGGGCACCCGTTTTAAGCCTAGGTTACTGGGCAGCCCAGCACTAAACATGGAGTTCATAAGCTCTTGAGTTTTTGTGTTCTGCTGTGGAGGCTTCAGGGCTCTTGCGTTTAGGGTTTACAGGCTTCAAGCGCGAAAGCCCCTCAGACCCTATTTGGAAGCAGCTGAAGAAGTCTACTTAGTATCTCCCAGAAACCCTTGTATGAGCCTCCTAACCTTACCCTTCTTACTAAGTTTGCGTTCTGGCTCTTCTTTCCGCTTGATGGTTTAGGGTTTATGCTTTAGGGGTTTAGGGTTTCGGGTTCTCTTAGCTGGTGATGGTTTAAGGTTCTCTTTCCTGGCGATGGTTCTACATTCGTGCTAGTAGGGTCCGTAGCTCGAAATCTAGGTTCTGGAGTCCTCAGACCCGAAATGAGCCCTTCAAACCCCAAACCCTCAGCCCTAAACCCGAAACCCTATAAGCCCTGCAAAGCCTCTACACCCTGATCCCTAAACCCTGAGCCTCCACATCCCCCAGCTCCTGCCCTCCGCCAGACTTTCACCCGATGAGAGACCAAAGAAATGCAGGGATGCGACTCAGGGGGTTTTGGCGCTCAGGGTTGATGGTGTATAGGGTTAGGGTTTAGGGTTTAGGGTTTAGGGTTTAGGGTTTCGGGTTCCGGGTTTAGGGTTTAGGGTTTCGGGTTTAGGGTGTGTGTCAGTGTACTCGGGTGGGGAGTGTGCCTTTTTTCAGGTTTCCTGTCGGACAGGGTTCGAGCACCCACGTATGCCAGCATGGGCTATTAGGCCTTATAATTCCCCTAACCAACCCTATCAAGGGCCTTTTCAAGGGGTTATAGGGTATAATGGCCCATGCAGGTATGGGAAGTCAGGGTTTTGCCAGTTTAGGGCTTGCTGTAGTACGGCGCAGAAGCCGGGAAGGTGGGTTGCAGATTAATTATGGTGAAATGCGGAGAGCCCGATTGCATGTGGAGGACCATCTAACCCAACGCTTCAGGCGGCAAAACCACCCTAATCTATTCGGTTTAGTAGCCCTAAACTCAAGTCAACTCCAAAAAACGTCTTCTCCGCTGGCTGGTACCGATGGTAAGCCAGGCCAGCTCCAGGCGGATTCAGAAGGTTGCAGGTGGAGGTTTCCAGCAAACGCCCAAAAGGTACCAGTACTGGTGCCGAGCACGGTACCGGGCCCCTCGTGGGCGCTACCGACCTCCGAGCTGTGGGAGGCGGAAAAAGACCTGGGTCGGCTCGCGCCATCGTGGTCGAGGCTACGGCTAAACCCTGTTTAGGGTGTAGGGCAGGGTGTTTAGGCTGTAGGGTACATAAATGCCCTAAACCCGTAAACCGCAAACCGCACATTCTCCCCTTCTTCTTCTTCTTCTTCATCTTCATCATCATCATCTTCTTCTTCTTCTTTTTCATCTTGATTGCGGTTTCCACCCTAGACCGTCGAAGCACCGTCGCTGACCTTCCCTTAGGGTTTAGGCTTGAGGGTTAAGTTGAGGGTTTAGGGTAGTAGGGGTGAAGGAAAAAGAGCCCTATACAATTGTGTGATCCCAAATCCTGTACTAAGACAAAGTACGCCGCAGGCTCACCAGGGCAGCAGGTTGATGTGGAGTGCATTGAGGGCTTGCAGGGCGTAGCTAGGGGTGACAGTCTAGCCATCAGAGTACAAAACCACCAAGTTCTAAATCCCTAAACTTTATACCCGAGACCCGAAACCCAACTCTAAACTAAACACTCCCAAGCAAGGTTTTAGGGTTCAGGCTTTAGGGTTTAGGGTTTAGGGTCAACCTTATAAACCCTAAACGCCTACGCCCCAAGCAGTTTGTGGCGACCCCTAGACTCCCGTTCCCCGGAGGCAAGATGTCCCCAATCATGCAGGGTTTAGGGTTGAGGGTTTAGGGTTTAGGGATTAGGGTTTAGGGTTTAGGGTTTAGGGTTTAGGGTTTACGGTTTACGGTTTACAGTTTACGGTTTACGGTTTACGCTTTACGGTTTACGGTTTACGGTTTACTGTTCAGGGTTTACAGAATAAACCTTCATTTTGGGGGTCCCTTGGGCCCCAAACCCCAGAAGCCCTAGGAAACCCTACAGCCCTGGAAACTCCTAAACTCCTGACACCCCGACCCCAGCCCCTAAACCCCGAAACCCCTAAACCCTTAAACCCGAACCCCTAGACCCCTCAAACACGGAACCCCAGAACCCCTAAACCCCAAAACGCCCAGACCCTGCTTATAAGTGGCATGGGGGCTGCCCCCGGAAACCCTCAAAAGCCAGCAGGGCACACCAAAACCCCAAACCCTGAACCCCAAACCTCAAACACTAAACCCGAAACCCTAAACCCTAAACCCTAAACCCTAAACCCTAAACCCTAAACCCCGTTCCGATACCCTCGAAAGCCAAGCATCGCTAGGTGCTCCGCGAGCTGCCCCAGGTGCGGCCCGGCCTCGGCCCAGAGGCCCCCTCCCTCTTTACTCTTCTTCTTCTTATGATTATTAAACATATTATATATGTATATATTTATACATAAAGTAACAAGTACATAATTCGATACTTGAATAATCAAAATAAGTATTTTTCTATATATGTATATGTATATATGTATATATCTGGGGGGTTTGAGGTTTGGGGTTTAGGGGGTTCAGGGTTTAGGGTTTACAGTCTCTCTCTCTCTCTCTCTCGCTTTCTCTCTTTGTCTCTTTCTCTCTTTGTCTCTTTGTCTCTTTCTCTCTTTGTCTCTTTCTCTCTTTCTTTCTCTTTCGTTGTATCTATATATATATATATTGTTGTATTGGTATTCTATTTGTTTTTCCAATGTATGCATTTGTTTCTATAATTCTGTGTGTGTGTTCTCTTGCGATTATTCTGAAGTTTATGAGTATGAAGATTGCTGTTGCTTGTGTATTTCCTTGCATAAATTAGTGGTATCTGAATCATAGTCGTTTGTATTATGGCACGTGTGATTATTATCGGGATTGTTCTTTGGTTTTACGAATTGCTATTATCATGTTCATTCATACTGCTACTTTGTCACTTCTTTATTGCAGCCATTTCTTTTCAGTGATTGTTATGAAGGCTACCGCATGATTTGTTCTTGACTTGTGACTATGGGTCCTTCTTTTCTTGATATTGTGGTTGTTATGACTGTTATGACTACTATTTTCGCTTTTGGTTTTGCAGTTGGTCGGGTTTAGGCGTCCCTGAATTCCTACAAACCCCAAACCCCTCTAAACCTAAACCCCTCAACCCTAAACTCCCTAAACCCTAAACCCTGATTTTTCTGGGGGTTGTTCCCTAAACCTTACACCCTAAACCCTAAACCCTAAACCCTTTTTTTTTCTTTGGGGGGGGGGGAGGTCATGGGGGGGGCGAGCTCAGGGTTCATATCGGTGGGGTGTGATCAGGGTTCAGGGCTTCTGTTGAGGGTCTTGGTTGTTTAGGTTTTAGAATTTCATCAGGTTTTGTGGATTTACGGTTCTTGAAAGTTACCCTAAACCCTAAACCCTAAACCCTAAACCCTAAACCCTAAACCCTAAACCCAAGGGTTGGGAGCTACAAGGTTCAAGGTTCAGGGTCTGCGGTTTGGTTGATTGGGGCCTGATACAACCTTCCTCGCGCCTATCCGAGAAAAACTCCACAGCCCTCCTCACGCATGCCAAAAGGGCAGGGTTTAGGGTTTAGGGTTTAGGGTTTAGGGGTTTAGGGTTTAGGGATCAGGGCTTGGGGTCTTAAACCCGGAAGCCTTAAGAAAGGCCTGAAAGTCAAACCCGGCAGGATGTTCCTCCTGTGACCGTGCGCCACTTTGAGGGTGCGCTGGAGGCATTTTGCACTGGTCTGTACTGAGCCCTAAGGGTCCATGTACTTTGAAATAGGGAATACTTGGGCCTTAAAGTCATTCCTATCTAGGGACTTTGAGGCCCAAGTATAAAATAATGAGGTACATGGACCCTTAGGGGAGTGTTTCCCGAGAATTGTAGAATTTGTCTGTACGTGAAAAAGAGAAGCATGCCCAGCGATTGCGGTACGCACGCTTGACATGTTTAAGGGTATAAAGAGAACTTAGGGAAGGCTTACAAGGGCTTGGAGTTTCGGGTTTAGGCATCGTTTCGGATTCAG